GAATATTTTCATGATGTATGCAGAGGGTGGAGATGACTCTGCTATTTCAAAGTTATAACATGTTTACTGGAGAATAACAGTCACATAAAACATCATTTCAGCTTTGTTAAGGAGTAACAAAATATCTTTGCTTGATAAATAAATCTTTGTTATATTCTTATTCTTTGAACCTACTTCAACTGAATATCATTTCTGGACCCATGAGAATGTGCCTTATTCTCTTAGGCAGCTATGGACCGGACCTTGTGCTCAGAAAAGAGCAAGCAAAGGACTATCAAGTTGGGGGATGTGATTTCTAGGCAGTTACTGTTGTCTAGACAGCCATTGACTTCTGTTTCACACAGTTTACACTTGTACCAAACTGAAATTAATAAAATGTAACCATTTATGTTACATGTGAAAATATTTTCACAAATGTAGTCTTAACTCCTTTACATGTTTTGTGGGAAGGAAGCAAAGAAAGTTTGAGACTTGCTCAAGAGTCTCCAAGTACAAGTGGCAGCATCAGTTCCAGCCCTTGGATCATCTGTCAGCTAGCTCTTTCCACTGTGGCTCAGGAGAAAAGGGAATAGTTCTCCCTCTGTCACACTGTCCTGAAGATCTGCAAGGATGTTGACAGTAAGCAATCTGATTGAACTATAAGTAAAAAGATAAAAGTAGAAAATCACTAATATTTGCTTAAGATTTCAGAGTATATCTACCATCAGAATACAGAAATTAAAATGTTTACTGATTTCATATGTTAACTGAATATTATTTCAGTGACATTACATAACATATTTTGCTACACATGTTTTTTTTTTCTTTTCTGTTTGTATAGGTTTTAATGAGACCCAGAAAAATCTATCCTGGGCCAAATTTGACCTCTCCCTCAGTTCTGGCTGTTTCTTTCTTTTTTTTTTTTTTTTAAGCATTTCTTTTTTTTTTTCTTTTTTTTTATTACATTGCATCATGAGACACAGTTTTACAGGCACTGGGATTCCCCCTTCCCCTCCCCAAAACCCGCTTCCCCCCCCATGGTGGATTCTTCCATCTTGTTGCATTACCACAGATCAAATTCAGTTGAGATTTTTTTCCTTGCAAGCATCTACAAAACATAGAGTCCAGCATCTTATTGTGCAGATAAGTTCAACAGTTTCATGGGGAGACAGTCTCTGGTCTGAAGGTACAGCCGAAAGAGTATCATCCCAATCAATTGAAAGCCCCGACATTACATCAGTAACAATTTATAACGTACCAGAATTAGTTGATATGATATTGGCTACACATGTTTTGATGACATGCTACCACATAACTAACCAGATATATTTTTCCAGAATACTTTGGAGTTGAAAACATATCAACTGACAATTTAAAAATACTGTTTCAACCGAAGATCTTCACTTTCAAGAAAACAAGGCAATAGAGAATGACACTTGGGACATGATTCACATGAGTAATTACTTAGACACAAAGGAAAAGAAGTCCTTTGCTGTACAGCACAGACACAAAAGAATGATTGGAAATATGTTACTGACCACTAGCAAAACAAATCAAGAATTCATATTACTACTAATCTAGGAATATGAATGGCTTATAATTACAAAGTAATAACAGTCATCCAAAACTGCTCAGAATCATGAAACTGTCCAGAATCATGTTTTGGATTGTCATTCTTCATAACAGCTCAATTAGATAAAGGAATAATTATAGCAAGTAGAACTAAATGAAAATGATTATCGTTAACTAATTTATAAGGGCACTTCTTGTGTTAATTTTTTGCATAGATTGTGAAGACCACAAATATTTTTAAAATATTTCAATTCAATTGAAAATTAGTAAATTTCAACTAGTTGTTTCTAAAACTATTTAGGAATAAACTTCAGCGATTTTGTCTTGAAGCTGTAAGAACATGATGTATGCCTGAAGGAAATTACTTATTCATAGGGTTTTCTTTCTGAGTAGAGATGATTAATATCTAGAACATTAATGCAAATTTTCAGATGTTGTAATAACTGGTGTCAAGAACTGCTAAAGCTGGGGGAACTACTTTGTATACTTCTTCATTCTCATATATTTTGAAGAACATAGAAATTCTGGCCTGAACTGTTGTGGTAACAGAGGTATCATTAACTTGTGAATTCAAAAACACTAAGTGAGAAAATCAAAAGCTAATACATGAACTACCCTTTATGGAAATAAGGTAGGGGAGCAATGTTTGTTTTTCATCTAACAGTTGACAAGCAAAGGTTAAAATTTGTCATCATTTTTGGCTTATTCTTTTTTGTCAATTCAATACTCCTGATACTGGCAAAAAATAAAAATCATACCTACTTAGTATTTTGAAACAAAAAAAAAATGTGCAGGGGCCCACCACGGTAGACTAGTGGCTAAAGTCCACATCTTGCACACACCAGGATCCCATATGGGTACTGGTTCTAATTCCGGCAGCCCCGCTTCTCATTCAGCTGCTCCCTGATTGTGACCTGGGAAAGCAGTCGAGGATGGCCCAATGCCTTGGGACCCTGCACCCACCTGGGAAACCCGGAAGAGGCTCTGAGCTCCTGGCTTTAGATTGGCTCAGCTCTGGTCATTGTGCCACTTGGGGAGTGAATCATTGGATGGAAGATCTTCCTCTCTGTCTTTCCTCCTCTCTATATATCTGACTTAGCAATAAAAATAAATAAATCTTAAAAAATATGCAAAAGATCTGAGAATAAATGGTCTTCCAGCTAAATTACCTCCTGTCTCAATGGTTTTCACGTAATTCTCTCTAACATAAGTCCAAATTTTAAATTACCCAGAAGTGCACTGTATTTCCAAATCACATTACTGGTAAAAAAAAAAAAATGGCTTAACATTTCAGGTCTATACCAGGCTTGACACATTCCTTCTTCATAGAAAACAGAGAGGTTCTTCATAGAAAAATGAGGCTATGGTTTGACCATCCTAATTTTTGAGTAACCCTAAATTCTTTTTCCAGCCATAGTGATGAATTTCTTAGCTGCTTTGTAGGGCAATTCAACATGGACTACAGTTTGCAGTCCACAGCAAAATCACCATGTGAAGAAAAGTCTGGTTGTGAACTTAAGTGCCAAAAACTTTTTAAGAAGAAATGCTGTTTTACACAACTGAAATTGAAGTATTTTTTTTAAAAAGCAGTCATGTGCCTCGTGGAGCTCAAATTTTGTCCTAAATTAAATCTCCATTAGTACTAAATGGTCTGCAACAATTATATGAGAGAACCCGAACAACTGTAAGCACAGCCCACATTCAACTGTGATAAGGAGTCAAAAAAACCTCCATTGAATGCTGAAAATGTTATTTTACTTTCTTTCTGGCTGTAAATAAATACATCTGTTCAAGAATAATATTAAACAAGAATTTGAACCATTTAAAATTACATGGCAATAATAGTGGTATAACAGCTTTATCCTCTGTGGAAGGCCAGCCTGTCCTGCTTGCAAGGAATGCCTGAAACCTTCTTCACTGCCCTGCCTCAACCCTACAACTCGGTGACAAAAACAAACTCCCCAATCACCCTGAACCCCTGCAATGCCTGCCACATGTCTACAGGGCTTATTTACAAAGTCAAATTTAGGTGTATCTCTAGACTGGCTCCTTTCCTCTTGATTAGGGTAGGCATAATCTTGTAACAGTCTCTTTCATTATGAAGTTACTTCGTGTGTGTGTGAGGGTGCAACCAAGTAACACTCTGACTAAAACATGTAGCATGCCCAGGTGGTGACAACTGCACCTGGGAGAAACGGCAGGGAGGTAACTAAGCCACCTTAGTATCCGAATTGGGTGGTAACAACCGCAGACAGGAAGGTCCACTGCAAAGAGGGCATCTTAGCCAAGATCAGAGGGAGGTAAATGAAGGAGTCTTTGGGAATAGGCTCAGGCTGAGGAAACGGGAGGTGCAGACACTGGGATGAGAAAGTACCTGGTGTAGTGGAGGCACAGCGATAGCACACTACGACAGAGGCAGAAGGAATGAGTGAGAGGCAACCATTGCGTGAAGGCCTACAAAGTCAGGGCACGATGCTCCAGCAGGCCATTTTAGGAAAACCCTGGGAAAAGACTGTGGACAGAGGATTGACCTAACTCAAGATGCTGGTAAAGAGCTCTGGTTGTATAGCCATGGTGGAGGCCTCATCTAAAGAGCCCTGAATCTTAAATGTGGTAACAGGTGTCCCAAACTGTGCACTCGCAACTACTAAAAGAAGGACTGAATCCAGCAAACAAATGTCTGGATGGGTCAAAAGAGGCTGTTGCCCTGGGAGACGCACTTGGGCCTGGCTTTCAGGCTGTGAGGAAGGCGTGGGAGAGGGGGAGAAATGCTGCTCCCTTCTTCGTCCCCCACTCAACCCCCATTCCACCCCTATTCCAGCACTGCGTCCCCCTGGGGAAGGTCAAGACCCAAGCCTGCTGCTCCTGTTGCCATGGCGACTGCAGGATCTTTTTTCCCCCCTCTTCTAGAGTGTGAGGCGCCCTCCACCCCAACCATGCATCCAAACCAGGCCCAGCGGGGGCTCATCAGTATTCCGCCCGCAGCGTTTCCCCTGCCGCCAAGTCGCAGATCGGCAGGCAGTGTCTGCCTCAGCGACCCACGGGATCCCACCACACTCCTCTCCGGACACTCACAGCGGTCCCTGCCCTCGAGCGCGCTTGACAGTCCCTGGTACTCGCGCGGCTTGCCCAGGCACACAGGGCAGCCACAGGCGGCAGCCACAGGCGGCAGAGTCAGCCCCGCAGTCTGCGCGCTCGAGATTTCTAAGGCTTCTTTGCTACAACTCTTGGGGGTATAGAGGAGGGGGTATTAAATTCCCCCCCCCCCCCGTGTGCCGTTTAAGGTCCTCTTGTGCCTCCTGCAATGCACCAGCCCGGGGAGGCAGACATCGCAGGCACCTGCACTGCGCCCCCGCTGGACTGCGCTATGCGTGAGAGGGGACCAGCTGGCGCAAAGCCCAAACAGGGCCAGCTCAGGGGACTTGGGGCTGAGGGTGCCGAAGACTCACCTTGTGCAGTTTCCACATAGCCCCTAGGGCCTTGACTTCGTGGCTGGAGTGCTTGCCCTCCTCCAGGCACTGGTAGCACACGGGCATCTTGCACTGCACGCAGTACATGCTGTGGTTCTCCAGCTCGTGGTCTGTGCAAGTGGACACCTTGCGCGGGCTCAGCCGTCGGCTCACGCGGCCCTGGGCCGGGGGCACCAGGCGGTGCTTGGCTAGGGGACCCCGGGGCGGGTGACATCGCAGGCGGCAGGGGTCGCAGTAGAAGACATCGCACTGTTCACACATGACAGTGGCCTCCTTGGGCGCCTTCTCGCAGAGCTGGCACTTGAGAGCCGCGGCTTTGCTCTGCTGGTAGCGGTCGATGACCCCTTCCAGGACGCGGTTCTTGGGAAAGCCGCGGAGCCCCCGGTCATCCAGGATTAGGCTGCGGTGGCACTGGGGGCAGGTGATGCAAGAGTTGCGGGGCACCGGAGCCAGAGCCGGGGACAGGTGGGTGGCCGGTGGCGGCATAGCTGGAGGAAACACGCGGACGCCGTTTGGGGACTTCTGGCACGGGGTGGTGGGAGCGCTGGCGAAACCCCCATAGGAGCCATAGCCGCTGTCCGCCTCGCTGTACAGGCTCATCTTGTCCAGGTCCAGGTAGTCATAGTCGGAGACGCCGGAGCCAGAGGCCCGGCGGCTCTGGGGGGACTCGGACTCCGGGGTTTGCACCAGGATATTGCGGGCGCAGGCCTGACATAAATTGTGAGAGCAGGGCAGGATGATGGGCTCCCGGTAGAAGGAGCCGCACACCGGGCATTTTAACTCTTCTTCCATTTCTTCCATGGGGACCAGGCTGAGAGCGCGGCAGCGGCGGCTGCAGCCGGTGTCTGAGCTGGTGAGGGGCCCTACGGGCCTGTGGCGTCCAGCACCTTGGCCAGTGGCGGTGGCGGCGGTGGTGGCGCCTTCCCGGGTAGCCCTGGCGCCGGCTCCCCGCGAGGCGCTCCCGCTCTGTGAGAAGCCGAGAAGCCGCGAAGCCGCGCCGCGCGCCTGCCCCAGGCCGCCCCCTCCCGCCTTCCTAGTCCCGCCCCGCCCCTCAGTCAGCCGTGTCCCATTGGACGGCGGGCGAGAGAGCGAGTTCCTCATTGGCTCTGAGCCCCGTCCGTCTCCTCTCCTCCGCAGGCCACGGGGGTTTGGTAGAGGAGCCTAAGAATGGGCGAGGCGGGGGGAGGGTGGCGGGTGTCTTGGCTGCCAGCTGCAGGATCCCGGGAGGGGGTTAGCGAGCGGAGGCTCGGGGCTCGAAAAGAAAGAATTAATCTGGATGACTCATCCCTCGCCCCCTTTCCTTCCGACCTCCGGCGCAGCCAGCCAGGAGCCAGGGGGCGTGAGAACCCCCTGCGCACTGCGAGAAGGCTGGCGGCGGCTGGCGCTTGTCAACATAGGTGTGCGCCGGGCCGCCAGCTCTTACCCACCAGGGGCGAGGGTCGCAAAGACTGGCTGCCGGGGGCGGTCTCCTCAGCCGGGCTTAGGTTTCCGTCTGGTGAGTGGGGCTGTTGTCCCTCCAGAAAGCGGCTACGGCTCTCCCCCGAGTCTGAGGCGCTGGAGGCAGAACCCCTTCAGCGCAGCCTCTCTGACAGGGACAATAACATGGACTTTGGTGCTGCCGGGAGATTTAAGTAGGTAAACGACACGAAGGCTCGGGCACCTGTCATCCTTTCGCGCTTTCCAGTCAGTCAGCCTTGGCTGAGGGCTTCTCTTTCAAGGCTATGGCGCCGACCGGCCCGTGTGCCTCCTGCGCCAGAATGAGCTTTCTTTCCCTCAGGCCAGCAGGACTCCTAGTGCAGCATAGGCCCGGATGGTGGGTCTGGGTTCGCCTGCCGTTTGGTACCTAGCCCTGTGAGTGAAATCAGAGTGTACCCAAGAGCCCGGGCCTTCATGCCACTCCATGCCACGTGTGCCAAGGCTCTGCATAGCTGCCAGCCCCTACCCTTCCTGGTGCCCAAGTGAGGGCCATGGCAGTGGCTGTGGGCTGCGATTCTCAACCTTAGTCCGCAAGCACAAGGGGGTCTTCGATAAGCTCATGGGCAGTTGGTATTATAAAAACGATTTTGCAAGGATTTCCCACTGTTTTGCATCAAAAAAAAACCTTTTTATTCTATTTCCCCCGCATTTTTTGAAATATCCACTTTCTCCATTCTCTTCCCAGATATAGCTGGTGATAACAGGCTCTGTCTCTTGCAGACTGAACTATTGATTTGATGATGGACTAAAATAAATAAATAGGAAAAAAAAATGTTGAGTCAAGTGATATTCTCATAGGGAATGATACATGGCTGACTTTTGCTGAGTAATTCATGAGCTAATGGCAAAAACACTTTCTGAGTTCCACAAAATCGCCCAGTTTTCTATGTTCCAGAAAATGATAACTTGATTATAGGCAGCTATATTTATAATCTAAAACCACTTTATTGCCCCCCCCACACACACATGCCTGCCCTAGAAGAAATAGTCCAAAACCTTTTCCAATGTGTGATCATTTTGTAGAGCAGAAGACTCTTCATTGTTATTTAAGCTGCTTTAATCGTAAGTGCTATGTGATTTATTCTAACCTGTAACTAGTGGGGGGCAGAGCAGCCACAGGGGTAATATTCAGTATACAGGCATAGAATTTCTTTGGGTGTGATGGTATGCAATCCCTTCTATAGGGTTCATCTAATTTATAGTTTTCAAGAGAACTTACTTGTATCAAATAGCTAATTACTGAGAAATTGTTAGAAGTGCCAAGACCACTCAGCAGTTACTCCTTTTGTGGCTTTTATATGCATTTGGCCACAAATCACAGTAACTTTGGGCCAGCAGGATGAGTGGCTGAATATTTTTATGAATTTGAATTTTGCTGATCAAAATTAGTGAGAGGGCTGCGTATTAGCAGAAAACTTACATTTTATTTCAAAGTAAAGGGCCAGTTTAGTGTATGGTTAATGATTTAACACTAATAATGATATGACATCCCAAAGTGCCTTCTTACAATACAAATATGGCCAATATACAAAGCTTTGATGTGTTACGTAGCATGTTAATTTGATTTCATTGTTGGATCTGTTGGGTCAAGAATTAATAAGCCAGTTGTAACAGAGCTGTTAAAATTGCTGTCATGTAAGAACTCACCCTGTTCCAGAGAGTAGACCTATGTTTGTAGTTCAGTCTCTGTGAGATCAAGAAGAGATAATTATGATTATCTCCATTTTACAGATGAGTAAACTGTGGCGAAGATATCTATGTGAATCCTCAAGATCGAGTATTAGCCTGGAATTTGAACCCAGGTACATGAAAATCTTTTTCTTTATTTGTTCAACAAATACTGAATTCAGGCTCTATATGATGAATGCCCGAACAATATTTTTGAAATACCTTTATGATATCGTTCTTCCATTACGGTTGATTCTTTTTCTTGGAGTCATTTCTCTGACCTTTTTGGTGGGCTTTTGGTGATTGTTCTGCCTCGCATTGCACTGTTTGACTACAGTGTGTTTTAAAGCTCCGGCTGAACTGTGTTTCAAGGGAAATGAAAATCTGGCCATAGTTACTGATATAATAGAAAATGCCATTCCATGAGGCAGTGTCCTTTCTTTTCCAGCTACTGATCAGTTCATGCCCTGAAACACAAGGCTTGATGTGTTCATTCCTGATCATTCCTGAGGTGACTGCAGATGTTCTTATTTGTATGAAGTACCTGATTATACTCTCAAATTTAGTACTCCCCCAAATGCTATTCTTCAATAGAGCAAATTGAGACTGCACCAGTTTCTTGATTTTTGTAGAAGATAAATGGAAAATTGAGCCACTTTTCTAATTGTTTTCAACTCTAATACCCGATTTTAACATAACAGACAATGTCTTTGAGGCTAAAGAATGAACAGAGAAAAAGGATTCTCTTATTCTCCCTTCATATTGTCTCCTAGAGTTATCCATTCTTGGTTGTAGAAGAGAAAAAAAATCAATGAAAGGAGCTGCTGATAGGCTGTGACACTTTAAGATTTTATGATACCACATACATAACAAGTGCTTAGTTATTAAAAGTGCTGTTCGCTGTACTTGGTAAAAATTGTATCATTGAAGAAGGATGGATATGATTTTTCTTTTTCGAAAGAAATTCTGTAGAAACTTCTTTTTATGGAGCATTTTCCCCCATAATATTTAGATTTGTACTTAAAATATATTGTGCCATCTTTTAATAGCATGCATTTATTATTATTAATATTCTTTGGTAATTTAAGTTGTGTTACTACTTTGGATTAAAAGCCTTTTATCTGAGAAGGTAACTTTAATTGAAATCAGCAATATTTTTACTTGTAAGTAACAAGTTACTAATGCTTTAGGAGAAATAGAAAAGAGAATCTGAGGAAATGGGGCTTTAGTGAATCTGATGTTCAAGTTAATGAGTTGGAATGTAAATCCAGGAAATCTAACATGTGAATAATAGGAACCTCAGAAAGAGAAAAATCAAAGGTAAAGAAAAACCACAGTTGAAGAAAGTATTTCCCTGAACTAAAGAAAGGACATGATAGATGGAAAGGATTTTGCAGTTATACATGAAAAAAGACTGAAATATACAAATACAGTTCTTGAACTTTGAAAAGAAAATAAATGTCTTGAAAGTTCTTTAAAAAAAGCTTGTAGATTAGAAAGAGTGGTAAACACTTAGTCTACTAATTGAGGTGGGATGCCATGTTCCATATTAGAGAGTCAAATACCTGTGGAAGGACCCACCTCCCAACATCTCCAAAAAGGGGGTCGAGTTCCCCAACATGTGAACTGTGGGGGACACATTTAAGTCATGGTATATCCCAAGTATTTTGTAATTAGCCCATGGTTTCCTAAGTACTGAGTAACTGAATCTTGATAGAGTCTTCAGGATTTGGCTAAAGTCTGAGATGCTGATATTATAGAGAAAGAAATGGGGAAGTAAATAGAAGGTTTGAACTGAAGAATTAGTGTCTTTTTTTTTCTTTCTTTCTCATTCAGTCATAAGTGAATACAAGTATTGTGAGACCTAGAAAAGGAAATATATTTATTAATAAAATAGGAAATATATTTACTAATAAAATAAAATAAAACTTGTAAATTAACTAATCTTGAGATATTATTTGAGATACCATTTGAAACTATGATAACAAATTTTAAAACAAGGAGGAATTGGGTACTTTTCTGAAAAATTGTAAATTAACTGAATTAAATACTCAAAGTGGAAAGCCCGGATAATATGCAAAGCCAAATAAAAGAGATTTTAAGGTAATTTCAGATTCCTTATTAAAAAAAGATAGGATCACTACATAAATGAGCTCTGTTAACCTTTAAGAGCAAGTCATTAAATGTTACTGAAATAATACTAATTAAATAATACTAATTAATTACAGACTGCTAATTAGCCTACTGTATGAAAACATACCTCTAATAAGAAAATATGATTATATAGCTAATAAATACAATAAATTTTAAAAACCCATAGACAAGAGCTAAATATTAGATGTAAAAGTGTTAAATAGGATATACAAATGAATTTCAGCATTGTGCTAAGAGATAACAGACTATATGTAAACAGAGTTTGTTTTTTCATGAATAATGGTTGTGGCTCAGCATCAGAACTAGCAACACAATTTATTACATGAAAAATCTATTACATAAAAATTTAAGCAAAATTCCATCTTTTGCATGTATGGTAATACTCTCCTTCATTCCAAAAATAACTAAAAAGCAATATTGGCCACAGGGAACATACTTTCCAGACACTGGCAGTGTAGGACTGTAATGGCTACCTCAGTCAGGCTTTGTATCAGATAACAATTTCCAAACTTTGATACACAGAAGTGGAACCCAGGAAATCTCTAAGTTGAGGAGACACTGAATTTTGAAATAGTGAATCTTAGAATTCTAAAAGAGGAAAGAGCCAAGCAGAGCAAGGGTTTCAGACATCCTTTTGGGAGTTTGCATCTTTGAACACAAAATATAATTTGCGGTGGAACTCTACCAGGTTTGGGCAACAACTGAAATACTAGTAAAAACAATTCTTCAAACACAATGACTGGGAATCATTCATATCCCTCATCCAAAATGAAGAGAGCTTACTGAATATATAAAAAAAATCAATTATATTTATTTATACTGTCAGCAATAAGTAACTGATACTACTAGCATAGTGTTAACAGTAGTATCAAAA